CATTCCTCAATTATTCATGCGTTTTTCGTATTCGGCACAGCCAACGCGGCATGGCGGCCAACAAACTGCCAGCTTGCCGCATCCTGACAAACAGTCTTTTATGATGTTCATATGGCTGTTGTGTACTTTGCTCCGATGTAGAATGGAAAATCAGTTCAGCAAACGATAATTAGAGTCTGATGGCGCGGCTTTTGTGTTGGCTTCCATTGTCCAGGATTTGATTAGCTGACGGACTTTGGCATATGTGATTTTGCATTGAAAATCCACGTCAAATCTGTTTTTGCATGTGCAGCATACAATGCGATTTCTAATTGCTTTGATCAGCTTTTCTATGCACACTTTTTGGAATTTATATCTTGTCAACATTGCCTTTTTTGTTTTACCGATCCGATTACGAAATTTGTGGCACGTGTCAAAGCACAGTTCACTTTGCAGTTGTTATCTCTGCCACATCATCAGCTATGACTGCACCACACTTCACTGGGTTAGCAGGTCATGAATATTTTTGCAAAATCCACTCACTAATCTGACGTTTTATGTACCGCTAATCCGGGAGAATTAGGGTTAAATCGGCTTAACAACCGGTTCGCTTCGATTCAGACAACGCGCAAAGCTTCTCTGGATTATGGAGTGTGTTTGTGTACGTGTGCAAATGTCTGATTTCCGTGTGTTGAATTTAGAAAAATAGACGGGAATGTGAAAGAATCACTTTGAGTGATTTGTTTTCTCAAGTGTCATCGCTCTTTGCACTGTTATCACCAAGCCGGTTACGCTTACACAGCGCTAATTCTTCAGCGCTGAGTTTTTTTCCGTCTGTCTTATCACACAGACAAGTGATCACCCAGCGGCGCGCCACGCCCACAGCTCATTTAAGTGTGTGTATGTGTGTAAGTTCCGCGACTGCGGACATAGCAAATGTTTGCAGAGGAATTTTTCGCGGCCACCCCACCGCCGCTTCTCATCCCCCTCTGTGCTGCATTGTTGAGCGCCCTCGTTCAACGACGTTTGTTTGCCCTCACGTTACCACCCGCTTTTGCGTTCTAGCGTAACGCAAGCGCAAACACGTGCACCGGGGAGTGCCGCGCCGCGCCGCGATGACAACCGCTGCTCGCGGCGATCTGTAATGCTGGTTAAATACGCCCGTCCGATGAATTATTGTTTCGGATTCCTCTGCACACACACTGCGTCTGCGTCTTCTCCGCACGATCTCTCTACCTCATCGCTCGGCTCTCGCTTCCTCGTCGCTGCGGACTGCGACAGCCTGTCGTAATCGGTCGCACTCTCGCTCTCGTTTCATCTCCTCCACCGCCGCGCCACTCGCTCGCCGGCCGCCACCTCACCCGCGCCCGCCCGCCTCTACCAGCCGGCCTTTCTCACGCCCCTTCCCTTAATTCTGCGTGCGTGCCTGGTGACGATGGTGTTTGACCGCTTTTGTTGTTCTCAACAGATGTGTGTGATTACACAAAAATTTATTGTGAACACTGCACTCTGGAGGGTTTCTGCACCCCTCCCTCCTACAATTTCATTTCTCGATTTTGCTCTAATTTCATCCGCAATCCCTTTGAATTAAATTACTTTACTGCTAAATTATGTGTAGACATAAGTTGCATGTTTCAAAGAAAATCTACGTTATAGCACCTGCTACTAGTAATTTTCTATGAATAGCTTATTTACGCGTTTGAGCTGTCTTGTCGGAGAATGCTGCGAGCTATATGAGGGTTAATAGTGTTGTTTTCTGTTTAAAAGATCAGTGACCTGGTTTTGTTTATTATAAGTTTGTGCATATAATTTTACCTTTTTGAAGGCTCTGATATATTGCTCGAAGCAATATCGGGTGCTTAGGTTGACTGTTTTTCCTTAACTGTTGATAGTCTAAATTCATTTGCTTTTCCCAAATCCCCCGTTTTCTTCTCATCTCCCTACCGTATCCTTTTTCATCTCTAATTGGGTATTCCGTTGCAGTTGCATGCAATTGGAGCTGCCATTCAGTTTTTCTTTGACATGTTTGAGACGGAAGCTTATTAGACTGCAAAACCGCAATCCCCATTGTTTTGAGTGATTTTCTAATCTCTCTGATCCCTACGGTACTTTGATGGATTATTGCAGTGTGTCTCTTGGTTTTGGGTCGCCACCACTACTCAGATGATTTATCGCTTCTCCCCTAACGGCTTGGACGTCCAGTTTCTCTCCATTGTCTTTGTCTCGCAATCTTGCCAGTCTAGTGTGGTAGATGAGCGATTTTTTGAAAGTTCCCGTTCTTTACACTGCCGAACAACAAAACGCAAAGATGAGAGCGCGGAACAGATTTTTCTCTCCTAGGATTGTTACACAATGCGGTCACGCGCATCACGGACATATCTTGAGGGTCATAGTCGTTTTTCACAAGTGTCACCTCTTGCCACTAAATTGAGAGGTGACTGGTGATGATGTCCACTTTAGAGTCATGCACATTTCTTTTATTTTTCTGTGTGTGTTCTTTGGAGTGTCGTTCGGAACTGAAGACGTAATTGCGTGTTTTATGAAGTTTATGATGGTGACTAGCAAGGAAATCGGATGTTTTCGTGTCGAGCGCTTACGTGTGTTATGGGCTCTACTATTCAAAATGATTCATATGGAAGGTGGACTAGTACTGACAGGAATTCTGGAAGGAGATGGAGGTGCTCTGAGTTGAGGAATGATTATGGCAGAAATATGATCGTTTGCAATTTTTCTAAATTATATGTGGAAATTAAGCGTATTTCTTCTTTCTAGTCCTTTCAGCACATTGCTGATTGCAGCATCGCCGTGGTGGCAGTATGAATTTTGCAAATTCAAAATAGTATTACTTAGGTCAACTAACTTTGATTTCACTTAATTGAGCTACGTTGAAATCCGACATAAGAAAATTCAGAAATTATTCTAGTACATCCATAGCCATGTTCATAGGGAAATGTTTTTCTTCTTGATATAGGTTAATCTGCTGAAGAGATTTGTGATCATTTAGCATTTGCACCATTAATGAAGTTCAGTCCTTCGCAAAGGTTTCTCTGCGATTGAAATCCTTGTTAGAACGAATGTTCTTTAGCCGCACTTGTTTTTCTAGTTCAGAGCAAGTACTTGATAATTGTATGTATTGCAGTGAAAGAAGTAATTACCATGTTTGAAAATCGTTTCGTGGAATGCGCTGGTTTCCTCGTATCACATAGAATAACTAAGCAAACCCGTATTTCTAGGTGCATAGAATTTCCTCAGGCTTGATAACTGTAATCAACTCCATCCACCTTGAATTTTACCCGGTTATTTACTTGTTAGAAGAAAAATGGCGGATTTGCTTGGTAGGTGTACTGAAATAGAATGTCCGAAAAGTATATATATGTGTATGTATATATATGTCTGTTACTGTCCGACGGTTGTACAGTTTAATTTTGGAGCTAGTGATCACATTGGAAAACTGTTTCTTGTGGTTTTTGGGAGACGCATCAAGTTTAGAGTAAATTTGGACATATCCAGCAAGTTATGGGCCATATATCGTCTTATATTGCAACTGACATGCCGATGAAACCCTCTCATATTTTTGATGACCTCGTTACATCCGTCAGAGTGCATTTACTCTGAAAGACTTAATGTTTCCCTCGCTAAGCAACGCATGGCTTTTTCCTTCCTCCGGTAGACATTCGGCTCTCTTCTGCCCCTTCCTCTTTCCCGGCCTCGCCCTTCCTTCGACCAAGAGCAGCTAGAGTCGCGGCGCTACTGGAGCCACCCGTCCGCCTTCCTATGTCGTCTGTCGCATTTTATTACGTGGCAAGTCACTAGCGATCAACCGAATGCAGACGGTCGCTCATTCGTCTCCACATTATAGATGTGGCCTTCAAGACATTTTTGCACACACATGTGATTTGCGTGTTTGTATACCACATGTCCTTCGCGTTTGGAGGTTTTTCGGCTTTGCCTTGAAAAATATCCTCTTGAGAATTGATGATAATCGTGCTCGGCGCGCAAGCCATCTATCTGCTGTCACATCGTCCATCCGCTGTACTTGATGTGCATCTCTTTGTTCTGCAGACCTCCGACATGTCGTTTTTTGGCTTTGTCTTGGTGGGCCAGTAGGGGGCTTAATTACCAAATTTTAAAGTGGGAAGAAGCGAGCGGGAGAAGATTGGAACTTGTCTGAGTCTGCAGAAAAGCTAAAGTCTCAAAAATGTTTATGATATGGGCAGTTATGGGCTCATATCATTGCAATACATTGCATTGTTTACACATTCGGGATGGTCATCATTTTCTGACTCTGCTATCTTATCATAAGTTCCTGTGTTTACCATTCAGATTGCGCTGTCTTGAAGCGCAGCGCTATGTTTTGAAAGTCGCAAGCTAATTGGTCTTCGGCGTTGGCACAACAATTTGCTGCTATTGCTGTTTGTTTTGCAAAATTGGTACTGTAGTAAAAGATACGCAACTGGGGACAAAACCAGAATTTTTTCCACAGATTTCTGTATCACTTGGTGTTATCACAGACAGAGAATTTTTTCTTGGAAAACATTTTATGACTTCAGAAATTATCAAGCTCAAATTTCCCCGAATTTTCAAGTGAAATTGTAGCTCTAAGGCAAGTTCTTCAGAGTTCAGCTTTCATACAACTGTGAACATTCAAACCACCTTACAATATTCTCTACTTCTGCAAAAGCCCAGTCCCTCGTTGGCAATAGCTGTTGTGATGTGCGACGCTTTCGTCGTGTATCGCATTCGCATACAAAAAAGTCTATTAGACGCAATGCCTAATCTCGTCGAATCATCTTTCCATCAAGCTCGCCGCCGTCCATCCAGCCTGTGCTGTTTTTTCCTCATTTCGCGCGCCTAATCTCACCCGTGCTGCTGCATTTCGCCTCTTCGTCTTTGCACGAGAAAGCCATCATTTCGTCGCCGTCATCGTCTCTACAGCCTCGCTTGCATTGCTTTCTTGCTGGCGATTTTTTTCTCTTCGCCGTATTATGAAATGTGATGATCCTTATCGCTGTCATTTTCAGAAACTAGCAAAGGCCTCACGCGGCCGCAAGATGAAAAGCCCTGGCGCATTGGCGGACGGTGGCGCTGCGCCATTGAAACGAGCCGCCAGCCAAACACCATCGCCAGCACCGTTGAAAACGTCAAGAATCGAGCCGGATCCGACTGTATTTCGGTTCGTTTCATTGTCGGTGTACTGTAGCTCTTTATATGCCTTTACATCTTTCTATTTTTGGTTCTTTTCAATTTTCCGAAATCTCATTTATTGATTGCACATCCATATGTGGTACGACGACCCCCCATGGACTCGGACACCCGTCGATTCGTCGACAGCATACTTTCACTTCCGCACGCGTCCCGATTCGACCATGGGGGGTCGCCCGCGCAACACTCACACTAACCTCCCTAATTGCACAATGACGGGGAGCGCGAAAAGAGGCCGCGCACCGGCCGATGAATGGCCTTGTTTTTTGCGTGTGGCTCAACCAGGAGCGCGCTCATGAAACCCGCTTTCTCTCGCGATGGTCATGCTAAACGCAGCGTCATTTTCTAGTTGTGGACATCGTATGTCTGAATGGAAATGAGAGGCCTTGCAGAGAAAATGAGGGACTGGGACTGGGTTGCGGCTAGAGTGGAAAGATGTTTTGAGATGTGTTCTTGACGAAGTTCTAGGGATTTCTTTGGTGTCACTACCAGATCGAGGCTGGGTAGAAGGGGGGAGGGGATGTTGCTGAGCTTTGCTCTTCTATCTTTTCTCAAAAGGGCTTGGTCAAAAGGGTTCTTATTATTCCACAAAAGCAAATTGTAGTGATCATTGTAGCAGTTATCGTAGTGTCAGGTACAATGTATGTTTCCATGGCCTGATTTTACTGCAAGATTGTGTGAAATATTACGTCAGCTGCTTTTCATGAGCTTGTGATTGCAAGAATACATTTCGAGCAAAAATAGCACATGAAGTCTCATGTCTCTTGTCGTAAAAATGTTAAGCGATCAGCTGCTCCACCCATTATCTTGCTGGCAATCAGCCAACTGTTTTGTTTTCGAGCTTATCTGTCAGCAGACGAGGCGGTTTTACACAAATCACACACAACTGGTCGTTTTGTACGCAGGTGTTCTGAGCGCCACCCTTCTGCAATTGCGTCATGTGCTCAGAAGTGATTGCTGCACCGACTGATCTTTGTCCTTTCGAGAAGGGGTGACATTGAAGAGGAGGAGGGGGTGTTTGTTGACTGAAGAGAATGCGAAGAGGCGTTAGTCCCTGTTTCTGCTTGAGGGGCTTATGTACGTACAGATAGCTCGGATAAGAAGACTGTTAAAGTCGAGTGCAAACCATAATTACGCGTTTTTCTTCTGTGTGATGAAATGGAGGCAATTTTGTGATGATATATGACCGAAATTTCTTCTAAATGAGCTGTGAAACCTGTTCTGATGATTTCCCGTTTCTTGTTCTTTGTTGAAAATAGGATGAATATCAAGTTTCTGCTAATTAGATGTGAAAATCTGGCCTAATCAGGATGATGCTTGGATTCACCGATAAAGGGAGATGCTGGAACTTGATCCATAAGATCGTTCAGTGAGTGTAAATCTGGGCTGAATCCTGAGATTCGGGAATGTGACAGTGGAGGAGGGTCGTTCAAACATTCTAGGGGCTCTAGTTTGCGTTTTTTCTGGATTTCGTGCAGCAAAATAACGGAAAATGCAAATATGTTTAACTTATACTTTTCTCGATTTTCCATTATTTGGACCTGTTGTTCAAAAAATTGACTAAGTTTTATAGGAATGGCATTATTGGCATTGCCAAATCCGACTCGTCGGCTACCTGTACCCCGGGACTATCCATGGGTGTCGTTACTCCACCTGGAGCTGCTCATCAGACTCCAAGAACGCCATTATCGGCGGATTCAAAACCGCATACAACATCGGCTGAATGTGAGTTTAATACTTTTTGCGTTTTCCATGTGTTCCACTGTACAAGTACATTTGAGACCGAAAATAACTTTTTGCTGGCAGTGGAACCGACTTTTTCTGTTTTGTTTTTCTGTATCTGTCAATGGGGTGATTATTCATTGTTTAAACTTGGTGACTTTACGGAGTTTTTGCGTTTTCTTTCATTCTTTCGCGGAAAAAACCGCGCGCTGCACACAAATGCGATTTCATCGTGATGTATTTTTGCTGTATTCTTTGGAAGAATTCCGTGAATAATTGCGAAAGTGCATGAATATTCAAGTGAAATTAAGTTTGCATGTATAGTGCAATGATGCAACAGTGGTGTACCATGCATTGCACTTTGCGCGAACGATGTTTTCATCTTTGATGCGTTATCGCATTACGGGTTTTGCTATTTCTGGAGCTGGCCGTCAACACTTTTTCCACTCGCTATGTTTTTTGTTCGTGGCGTTGTTTGGTTTTGGAGCCGAGCGCGTTTTTTGCCCATTACACTGATATGATTTGTAGAAATGTGTTATCAGACATAAGAACTGGTATTCAGTCATCAATGACTGTTCTTCTCTCTCCGTGCTGTTGTAATGTTCTCGTGGTTGAGTGGAGAATAATTGCGAAGAAGATGGATAACAAGATCGAGAGAGAAGAGAAATGTTGGTCTTCAATAAAAGCACCGGATTAGCGATTGATGAATTGCAAGCGCTTAGTGGAACAACGAAGCTTGCAGTGATGTATTGGCCTGAATGATGAGTCGGGGAGGCCAGGCATTTTTTTGGTTTTCCATTCGGTTGAGTAATAGAGTCTACAAATGCAGGAAATGTGTTGTTAAGTGCTGTATGTGTACTTTAAGGACTGTGTTTGTTTATTGTGGGGAATGTTGCTTTTTATAGGGGAATACAAACATTTGGGTAGGAAGTCTGGGTAAATATAGCCTCCACCATCCAGTTAAATGAAATTTATTATGTTGTTTTCATCCCAAGAGACACTGTCGATAATGAACATAAATTAGAGCAGCCCAGTTGCGATAGAGCACAGGATTCCCAGCTCTACCGCTAATGGCCTGCTCTAGCTTAAAATTCCCTCCACCAGCTGAACGTAGTGGATGAGAACGACTTTAACCCAAGTGGTATGCAAAGCCTAGGTGGCCTTGACAAAATGGACATTGTGTTGGTCTGCTTTTCTTGATCAAAAGTGTAGATGCGAGAGAAAGATGACATCAACGATAAGATGTACATTCATCAAAGGTTTTCCAGTACAAGGCCAGTTTTTCGTCGAGATTGCGCTTTTTAGGGCTTTTGTTATCGGGGCGAGTGCTGCTAATTTTATGACTTGTTGCTTTCACCAAGGGTATTTTGCAATGTCTGTACCATTTTCTCTAATGATAGTGCGAAGAAATCATCTTTACGTTTTTGGTTGAATGTTTAAAGGTATATCAAGTTTGTTGTCACGAAACATTATCGTTCGCAATAATTTAGAACTTCGATTTTTCTTCCATTTCGTCATCGTCCCACCGCCAACTACCACCTGACAAACGGCCGATTGGCCTTGTAGTGTGTCATCTTTCTCATGTGTTCTTCACTTGGTGTAATATTTATTACAGCAAGCAACGGTCATACTACGGCGCAGCAAATATCGCTCATTTCTTGGGCTAAGGTACTTTTAAGAGATGAAATGGAGTGTTGAGGAATAGCTGAGTAAAACTGTCTGCAAATATTTGATGATTCATTCCGTAATAAAGAAAAACTGGACATGAGACATTTTCTGAGATAGTCAAGGGTTTAGAGAAGAAATCCAGTATCATTGCGTTGAAAACTATGTGCTTTATCATTTTCGAAAAAAGCTGTTTTTCTTTGCGTCTCTGTACTGCAGCTATGCAGCAGCTGATGGTAAACATGACTTTATGGGATCGTAAACTTTTTATCGTCTAATCGCATCACATTTCAATGCGTAATGATAGTGTTATCACTTTACATTTCTTTTGTTTCCAGTCTAATCATGAATGAATCAGCAGAAAAACAAAAGGAATTGTGTACTTTGACTGGAAAATCATAGATAGCAAGGGCAGACAACTCCCATATCCTGTCTTTGTTCAAAAACCTTTGAGGAGTTAAAGCGCTTAACTTTAGGATGCGCTTATGGAATGATATTTAACATGTCTTCAATGAGCAACCAATCCTTGAAAACTTGTTGATTCCCTACGGGACATCATCAGCTGAGCTAATCTAGCTAGTCTTCAGAAATGTCTAAAGTAAAGATCAGTAAGAATCTCTAGTTGTTAGACCAAAGATCGCTCCAGTTCTCGTGCGCGGGGCTTGCGTGCTCACGAGGGCACTTAGTATGAGTGGCATGGAATGTGGGAGTGGATTGCTTTTTTATTAGGGGTTATGAGCGGAGATTGCGCGCTTAGAGACATAAGATTCCTCGTAGATCGGATGATGTGCATTCTGAATGTTTAACATATGAGGGAAAGTGCGAATTTCGGCAATTCAGCTGGAACGATGGACGCACGGCTGCAAGGCGCTGATTCTTAAGTGTTTTGTAGTCATAACGGCGATGTTCTTGCAAAATTGTCGATTTTGCACTTGTTTATTTGTGTGAGGTTTTCTGAGAGGTTTCAATAAATTTCCTGTTTCATAACCACAAGTAATAGAGTAGAGGCTTGCAGCTGGTTTTGCATTTGTTGACTGAAAGCTTCGAACTTTTTTTGTGGCGGAGCTCACGCTCGGCCTCGATGCGGCTGTGTAGTCTCGCTCTCACTTCCTGATGTCACTCAAAGAGGATCGAGTGGCATCCGCTGTCGTTCCGCTGCGCGCTGTAATCGAGGTGTATTCATCGCGTTCTAATGATCGTCACCCGTCTGTATGTGTGTAATGCTGCTGCTTTTGATGTTGGATCCGTCCGAACAGCAACCCGATGCAAAGGGATTAAGAAATACACAGCGGATATCATGTGTCAGACGCGGATTACGGCAGGCAGCAAAATCGTGGGACGTGTATGCTAATTTGCAACAATCCGGCTTCGTGGAAACATCCGGACTAATCAGCGGCTAATCCCTAATGCATGTCATAATGAGGATCAATGGGTCGGGCTAAATGCATGCTGGGGATTTTGAGGGTTTTCGCGGGAAATACACGGGAATTTGCAGAGGAATGGGACATACTGAAACGTCTGATGATTCATATAATGAACTTACCCGGAAATTTGCAAAACTGGATTTCTGAATATAGTGCAAAATAAATGTGTCAACAATAACGAATATCGAATCAAAGAGCATGAAAAAGACTTATGTGAGGTTATAACGTGGTAATTGCCTGGTTTTCGATTTTGTGGTATGAAAACAAGCAAAAAGGTGGACCCTTTGTAAAGTGCTGTAATGCGATCAGCCTATTATAGTTTGTGAATGATGACAATTTTTTATAAGCTCCGCCAAATAACTATCCAGTATGTGATTAACGGTGGGATGAACCTATTAAAAAAATAGAGTGGCTCTCAGGAAATACTATGAAACTGATATATGGAATGAAATAAATAAATTGCGTAGAAAGTGTGCTTTTCATACATAAAAAAACCTTTTTTATTTTATAAATTTGCAAATTCCGTGAAGTCACCAAGTTGCGGATCCCACTAGATTGTCCACTTCTTAACATCCCAAATTTCAGCCACGCATCCATCGGATCCTGGACATCGAGCCTCATCCGTAACTCCATCCGGTAGTGTTGGCGGCAACAATCCAGCTTCATCATTGTTCGTCAACACATCGTCCACATCACTTCTGACTCAAGCCGGTCTACTTTCACATCAGCTGGCTACGGGCCAACAACTTGGAGTCGATACACTTCGATTATTGCACAATCCACAATTGGCAGCCAGCTTGTCGGCAGCCGCAGCTGCTGGCAATCCATTCCTGTCCACAAACACTGGAGCGACAATTCCATTGTTGCATATGCTACAACAGCAACAACAACAGCAGCAGCAACAGCAGCAACAGGTTGGTAGAATTTTCTGAAGTTTCATTTTGTTTTCTTGTGCTCGTGTTTTTCGTTTATATTCTCTGTTCCTATGTTCAATCGTGGTCTTCGTGGGTTTCTGGAAGGTTGCGTTTAAGTTGCACTGCAATGCAGTAGTTATATTCATTTCCGGAATCTCACGACCGACACGTTTGTTTACTTGACGACAATGGCGAATGCTACTGCAGTATGTGCTTATTCGTGTGTACACACATGCAGTGGCTAAAATGTGAATTTTTGCTGGACAAACACTTCTTGTCTTTGGCTGATTCATAATATGCCTTGAAAGTACGCTTTTCCGCTCCTGCACCATTTTTTGGGAGGGGTGGGGGCGCTTTGTGCTTTCTTCCCTTCAACTTTTTCATGTGAGCCGTAATTATCAGTATAACCCATGACTTGTTATGATTCGAAGAATCTCTCAATCCTTGCAGAAGTAAGAATTCTAGCAATGGTGCTATCTTCTTCTTCCTGTGAGCGCAGTTTTTGCACTCTTGGTGTATAGCTACCGTAGCTTGAAGAGGAACATTCAGTGTGGATATGGTTTTTGATTCCAGCTCCGTACGCATTGAATGGACCTAGCCATGCGAAATGACCAGGATCTATACATTGTAGGCTATAGCGCATACAGCGCCGTTCCCTTCAATCATCACATTTACATAGCCACCATTGCTTTTTCCCGCCAGAAAACCAGTCGCCATTGAAGCCCGCAGCAGTAGCCGTAAAGGTCATTGACGCCTTATACGGCCGCATTCACAACGAAAGTTTTTCTAGTCGCGTCGTCAATGGGGAAAGTGCGAAATTCAGCACGACGTTATGCGGATGCGTGCACGGCTAATATGGGTGCTTTGCTTGGCCTGCAGAACTGAATGAATGGCCAGTTCTCTCCAATGCTGGCATTTTTTGCTTGGGTCCGAATTGTTTCCGACGTTCACGTTCCGCGTTTCTAGCGGATCGAGTTCGTTGAGCAAGTTTTTCGCACGTGCGCAACTCGCGCGAAGGCGGTTGTTTGCACTTTTTGAAGGGAAAAATGAGACTGCGTCACGTCTCAACAGCGAATGTATGTTGAATGTCCGAAATAAGACTGTGAGGGATGTGCTATGATGTTATGTTATGTACAACGAATGTGCAGCTTTTGGCTTCATCTTGGATTAGCACATTGCGCGCTCAACTGACGATGCTAATCTTGTCGCTTTGATGTGATTAATCTCTTTCTCGGGAGGTTTGCTAAGGCGATACCCGATCGCATTAGGTGAGACGATGATAAACTCTTCTTTGACAAATATAACCGTTGGGATCCAATTTCTCCTCAAGCGAACTGCATATGCGATTCACGCAAACTGATGTTTTGCGCATTTATCGTGAGATGGCTATTATCTTATCGCCCTTAGCAAAACATACGTTGAATGCACGCGATGTGCGAGTGTGCTCATTACATCCTTCATTTTTTTCTGCTTCCTTCTCCAACGACATGGTGCCACACGAGACGAGCCCTCGAGATAAGAAAAGAATTTCCCAAAGGACGTGAGAGAGAAGAGAATTTTTGTTGTGCACGTGCAAAGCTGATGAATGGGAGGGGTTTTTGAGAGGGAAGAAGCGCTTTCTCTTTTGAGAGAAAAAAAATTAAGGAAATCGAACTTTATCTGGCGAAATGTGAGGTATTATGAGAATGGGGAGTTTCTCGGTTTCAAAATTGATGAAGTTTTTGGAAGTGCATGTACCGTCAGATATTTGCGACTAGATATACGAATTGCACACAATGCACACCACTTGACGACTTGGTAAGATAAAGACCTGCTCTGCAGTGATTTTCCTTGTTTCTTTGTTTGTTTTGATTCGGGGTAAGTATTAGTAATAATGTATTAGTAATGCACCTCTCCACAGTTTGATCCGCTAGAAGAGGTTTCATCCCAGTTATTAGTAAAGGTGTCGTCGATTGCCACGCAAAGTGTGCAGACTCACATACTGCACAGACTGAGTATAATTTGAAGAAGCTCGGAGCAGTTGCTAAACACAACATTTTTATTCCAATCTAATGCACTTGGTTAGTCCAGAAACTGTTTGCACACTGACTTATGCGTTTGCAAAATTTTGCTGTACATCGCAAGCACTTCACTTCAGTGTAATAGCAGTTTTGCTGCTGCATTCACTGTAAAATGTGTGCACAACGTTTTTTTTTTTCGAAACCCGAATGCATAAGTGCTATTCTGACATTCGCAACTCTCTCTTTTCTCTCTTTGTCTGATTGCGGAAGCTGGGTTTTATGTGCGACATTCTCTGCGCCCACGATTCGTGCAAAATCGCATGATTAGATTTGGGCAAAGTGAGTAAGTCGCATTTGGCTGATGCGGTCAGGATTATTGGATTGGACTGAGCTAGGCGGCTACGAAATGGATTTCTGTGGCTTAGGGAAAAGTTTTCTACGAGCCACAGAAATCCATTTCTGAGGTGAAGGCCTGTCCGATAGCCGATAGCCAAAGCTTGCAAAGAAAAAACCAAAGATTCAACGCAAAAACACATCGTTCACTGTGCGGCTCGTTCCATGTTAAGCGAACCGTACGTGAATGTGAATGTGTTTGTGTATGTGTCTGTGTGTGAGTGAGTGTATGCGAAAGCGCTCGTGTGTGCATGACGAATAGGCTGTTTATGGCCGAGCTGTGTTCATTTTCCATGCAAATGTAATCGGACGTAGACGCACGAATGAGCTGCTGCTGCTGCTGGCTATGGCTGTGCTAGTGCTTCCGCGCTTCTGACGACGCGTGCGATAGCATAGAGCGGCCAGTTGCAAATGGAGGGGGCTCTTGGGTGTGCATCCTGTTATTTTATTCTCGACGTTTAATTGTTACTCGAGACCGGCACAGGGTGTCGCGCCGTGTGCATGATTGCAGGGGCGATAAAAAAAATGTTCTATGCATGCGTGCACATGATGAATGGCTTGAGCAAGAAGCTTTTATGGTCAAAGTTGTCAGAGGCAACGTTGGCCTAATAGCAGGCCAAGCTTCATTCCGTACCCTCTTTTCTTCCACCTTCCCCCACCTTCCTCCATCAAGGAAGTTTCATCTATTCTATTGCGCTGCCCACACTCCTCGATCTGATCTTTGTCGGTGTCCGAACATGACGTCGTCGATTCGCTGCAAAGCGGCAGGCAGCTGATGCCGGCGATAAGCCGGTTTGATTGCGGCCCGCGCGCGTTTTTGACGTGGTCATCTGACACATGTTGGCCAAAGAAACGGAGCAAGGCTATGGGAGAACGTCAGCGAGAGAGAAGATGACTTGAAAAATGGCTTTGCTCCATATTCAAAGTCAGGAGGTTCTCTCTTGGGAGGGTGAAGGCGGAACAAAACAACCATCCGATATTTATCAATCTTCTGATCCTTATCGGGCAGTATGCCCTTATAAGCGAGCGCGCATCGTCCAGGGAACTCTTTCATAGCGGCAATATAGCGCCCGATCAAAGATCGGGAGATGGGTAAGTGTGCCCTAGGTGAAGGGAGTAGATTGGATGATGTTTGAATAGGAGGATGGACTGTCTGTTTATACATTTGCTGGTTTGCCCTCAAATCTTGTTTTGCAAAAATTACATCTTTGTAACCTGTCATCCCCATAGCTCGAGAAGAAAGCAGATCTTTCTTGACATAATTGCCATTCAATTTTTCTCGAGCATTTGAATTCTGGCTACACGTTGGAATTTGGCGTTTGACCTTCACGGCTGATGTATGCGGCCAGCCGGAATGTGAAATGTGCAATTTCGAGCGAGCTGTTGAATTTTTCGAAACCTGCATTTTCGTTGCAGCAATTAGTTCTAGTCTAGCGTGCAGAAGAAACAAGTTCACGTTTTCGTGTCTGCACTCTCCACTTTCTCACTTTCTCCCAGACCTTCTTAGGGTTGTTTTGGTGCAAAAGTTCAAGTTTTTTCTCCTGCGATGTGAATGAGCGAATCGCGCGTTTTTCTTCGAATTTTTTTTCGCCTGCGCGGGCACATCGTTGTCCTCTCAAAGACTGCGCGCGGAGTGTTTCCTTTCACTTGCGCTGTGTGATACTCGACCGCAGTATAACTCTCCCAAGCACCCGGGGGTTGTCGTCGTTTGTGTTGTGCGTCATGTATTCGGCCATACTGAAGCGCTCGCGCTTCAACTGAGAGCTGCACTCAGCACGATGAGAGGAAAAGAATGAGTTGGAGTGAGTGAGCGGATGGCGGCCGCAGACAGACACAGGCGAATAACCCCATGGGGGAATTGGAAACGAGTGGTGCATGCCAGAGGGAAAGCGGCTGAGCTAAAGTATTAGCAGAGGTAATTAGATGACGGACTGAAGCGGATGAAAGGGGTTCCGGGGATGATGCGAAGCGGGAGAAAAACTAGGCTAGGAAATGGAATTTGGGTGGTAAAAACATTGTGAAATGGCAGAGCGCAAATTAGAAGGTGGTTTTTCTTGTTAATTGGAAATTGCTGCTAAAGATGAGGGGGACATCGAATATGCCGAATGTGGATTGTGCCAATTATTCGATTAAGTTTGTATGGAGAGTTTTACAGGGGAAGTGTGCTTGACCTAGACTTCCATGGGGTTCATACTTGATAATTCGTCCAGAAGGAGTTAGGATTACCTAGCAATATTTTAGCTAGATGTTGGTTGCACAAATTGTAGCCGATGTTTCATGTTTCCCAACAATCACATTTTTCCTGCTGTTGCGATTGAAAAATGGATTGGTGGGATAAGAAAATACCACATCCTAAGATTTATTCGTCATCTCGAAGCGATATCGAAAAGAGTCTGTGGGTGTTTGTTTTCTCTCGTTTACTTTTCTATCGGAATCAACTTACAACTGGACTTTTTTCTTTTGTAAAATGATGCCTCGGCTAGATGCGCTAGCAGACCTGCAAAAGTTACAGTTGTACTCTGCAAACTCTTTTGATAGCTGTTACTGTGAATACTATTGACGCAGCGAAGTAGACAACCACTTCTTGTCAATATTTTACATTGCTGAGTGCATTGCATACTCGAAAGCTGTTGTGTCAATAATCGAAAATTCCTGCAAAAACCTCTGTTCAAACAATGAACAATGCTGTGTTTGTTCAACAATACATTGAACAAAACATCATGGAACAATAGAGACAAACGCAAAAGGTTTGGGGAAACGTGTTTAATAGGACAAACTGCCTATGAAATTTTATATTCTCAGCAGTTAGTTGAGTATATAGAGTTACAACAGCTTTTTATACAAAAGAATAGAGTTGGTGGTGACAAACATTTTATATGTTTAAACTTTACAACAATCAGTCGCAGCTCTCTGCTGTTGTTCGCAAAGTTCAGGAAGAATTTTGTATCAATGAGCTTTTCAACAGCAAACCATAGTGGGATCTCGTAGTTGAGCTAGAAGCTATTTTTGGCTCAAGTACGAAATCGTACATGTTTACGTGTGAAATGATTGGAAAATGGCCGATTGCATGCATATTTGCATACTAACGCTGAATATATTGATGTCGTAAATGTTGGCAGAGCAATAGCGCGATGACGATATTATTTCGTCGTACATTGTCGTGTCCGTGTTTACACACTTTGACACGAACAGTCGTCGTCACCATTGACCAACAAAGGATTCTTTTCACAATATCCGTAAAAGAAGCTGTTGAGGCTTTTTTGACTGTGTTGTGAAAAAGAAAAAAACGACAAAGGTGGATAAGTGGGGTAATTGTCAGAGTAAGGATGGAAGTTCTCGAGCTCGAAGTGTGGCTTTGAGTGAAGCAGAACTCAATTGGGGATCCAGATCCGTCTCTGGAATAAGGAGCGGTCTTAGGTCACCCAGTCAGCTACCGTAGTCAACCATCTCCTTGGTCTAAAACTAGGCTTGGAGAATGTTTGGTTACGGTAGTTGACTATGTCACCTGCTTAGACAAAGCTGGCTTAAACCATCACAGAACACAAAAAAAAATGAATATTGAACACTTGAGCTGTTGTCACATTGTCGTCAATTATTCATGCTTTTGTCGATCACGAAATTTTACAAAAGTATATTTTCAGCAACAGCAACAGCACCAGCAGCAAGCTCTTCAACTGCAGCAAGCTGCATTGGCTGCTGCAGCTGCCAGTGGAAATCCCGTTCTTCCTCCATCTGCCCTGGCTCCAAGTGCTGCCTCTCTTCCCTTCCCAGCAAATGCTGCCCTTGGACCTCAACTTGCCGGCGCAGCACTCCTGGGACGACCAATTGTCCCGCAACCTCCGCCGTCGTTGGCACCTAGGGTGAGTTCGTCGCCGTTTTTTCTCGTTAGCGGCGTTTGCTAATTAATTCCCGAGTCGCGATATTTTTCCCAGTCGTGGTTAGGCGCGACTTGCTCATGCATAACGGTTCGTGCATTATCCACATGAATGTGCATGCCAAATGAATAGGGAATTATTGATGTGAAGGCTATTTGTAGCGTGACGCACCTGTCAGCTAACCAGCGATTAGGAAACTAAAGCACATTGACGCAATGTTTACCAATTTCTTGTCTTTATTTCGACATTGGTCATAGTTGTACGAAAATATCAGCCATAAATATTCTTATACGTACCTCATTCTCAAGCGGCAATCTCGCGTGTGAACGAACACATAATTATTCACATGCAAAATGCGCTGCATAATTATAGTGTCGTGCTCAGTAATCGGACTACTGTAATTGCATAAGTGTAGGTGGAATGGAAAAACATAGTTAAATGGCTATAGTAAGCATAAAATGCACGCAAATAATTGTTTTCCGTTTGCAGAAACCTGGTCGATGGTGTGGAATGCATGTGAAAATTGCACACGACATTGCCGCATATCGACAATCGCAGCAAAAAGATAAGCAAATTGCTGTTGCCGCTGCTGCAGCCGAACAACGGGCTCGTGTTGCTGCTGCTGCACCACCTGCTGTCGCCAGTACCTCGCAGGCAACATCGTCTGTTGCGGCCGATGCGTCGTCTGCTGCTGCTGCACAAATTGCTATGCAACATGCTGCGATGGCAGCACGAGGCGCTGCACCGCAACCACCACATTGCCTACCGTCCACGTCCTCGGCGGCACCAACTGGGTTAGTTCTGAATTATTTTCTTTTTTTTTTCTTTTTCTCATGGGTTCATACATCATAAGCGGTAATCTACATTAATTGTATCTGTGTTCGCTCGCGACAGTCGGGCAACATTGTCCCATGCCACATTGTTGCGCCAATTCTTATCATAATTAGTTTGACTCGAGAGTTCTTTTTTGCAGTCCCTTGGTGGTGGGTTTGAGTGGGTGGTGCTTGGAATATTTTTTGGACATACAGTAATCCATTCTAATCAAGTTGAATTAGATCTTCGACAATGTGGCGCAATGATGCGCCTTACTTTTCATCCTGTGACCATCCGCCCAATGCTGTTCCGCAATACTACTGGTTGGGCTTTTGGCATTCTTTATGAGAAATTGTGCAATGCTAAGTAATGCCTTTTTTATGAACTTGAACTTCCTCTGCTTTTCTCATGCACAAATTCTCTTTCAATTGAGCATGAGTTTGCCGCGTAATAAGGAAGTGATCTCTATAACTATAGTGCTTTTTTTTTCGTCAATGTTCAGCGTACAAAACCGGAAAACACCCACTTCGAGTGGTGGACGCGTTGATCCGTTTCTTTGAAGTATTTGAAGAGGTTAGAAGGGGATAGGTTGGAATGTAAATATTTGCTGTGTCTTTCAATGTAGCGCGAGTGGTTCCGCCAGCACACAAGATTGAGTAAACAGTAGCAAAGATATCAAATAAAAGAGCACAGCGTAGGTGTGTGCACACTTACACTGTGTGTCGTTTGTAAATTCTTTGAAGAAAAAAGTTACAGTTTTCGAACGTCTGGTTCATAATGCAATTTGATTCTGAAAGTATGCTTTTACAGGTTCTTGGCTGGTTTGCCTCCACAAGCTTTGCAATCGTTGGCTCTGCAATCCAGTAATCAGCAGATGTTATCGGCATTGCAAGAAGCTCGAAGAGTTGCAGCGTGAGTAATGAGACCGCTTATGCATTGCTTTTGGCCACATGTGCCCCATGTGGAGTACTGAGCCAGCTGAGGCCAACTGCCTGTCTTACTGTTTCGCAGCAACTTACGATCAATTTTTCAGTGCTACGCCAAAACCGCCACAGCCACAAATGACCCCACAACGGCCACCATCTGCTATGCCTCGCACACCCCAGCAACCTGCCGGACTCACCCTACCACCCGGCTTGGCCTCCCTTGGTCCTGCCGGTCTCTCCTTAGCTGCACCAGCACCCGCAGCCGGATCTCTCACAAATGGCACCAGTGACGCGGCCGCAGCGCAACAAGCAATGTTGCAAGCACTCATGCAGATGCAACAACAACACCAACAGCAACTGTTGCAACAGCAGCAATTGCAGCAGCAACAGCAGCAGCAACAACAACAAGCTGCCGCAGTTGCAGCAGCCGCTGCGCAAGCGCAACGCGAACGGGAGCAGAGGGAATTGCAAGCACAACAACAGCAACAATTACAACAGCAGCAGGTAAAGGTAGTTGCTTTTAAAGCTTATCATTTACTAAGAGATCATTTCTGTAGTAGTACGACTATTGCCTTTTTGGCAGTTAATTACTACCGAAGTCAGAAGTTGAGCTTGCCATAGTGGCCTTCATTCAGTGTCTCAGTGATAAATAAGCTTATTACGTTACAGGCGCAAATGGCCAGGAGTCAATCTGGTTCTACCCTTCCGCCTGGACTCTCAGGCGCAGCGGGCCATTTGATGTTGAATCAAGCTCAACTGCTGCAGCTGCAGATGGTACGCATATCGATATTGGACTTTTGTTAATTGAACACTGAGATTTTACATTCCAGCTTCAACAACTCGATCCTGCACGTGCAGCATTAGCCGCAGCAGCTGCAGTCCAACCTCATTCTGGCCAAGGAACGCCCGGTCAACCATCTCAACTTGATCTCGGTTTCTATCGTGCACACATGGAACAACAGCAACAGCAGCAACAACAGCAGCAAAATTTGCTGATCGCCCAGGCACAAGCGCAAGCTCAGCAGCAAGTTGCTCAGGCTCAAGCAGCACAGCAACAGTCCAACGTTATGGATCCCCGAGAAGCTCTGCTCCGGTTGTACAGCCAGTCCTCGGCCGCCGCAGCTGCGAACCGAGGTGGCATCGAGGCGCTGTTAAGTGCGCAGCAAGCCGCTGCAGCAGCTGCTGCACAGCAACAACAGCAGCAGCAACAACAACAACGGTTACCGCCTGGATTTGGCACCGGAGGGCTTCCGCCTGGGCTAGCAAGCCTCGCCGCAGCACAGCATGCTTCCCTTGGAGCAGCACCGACCTCCCAGTCGTCACTGTTCAACCCAGCCTTGCTGGGGCTACAAGGACTTGGAGCTGGTACGCCCTATGGCAAACCCTTCCCAGCTGGCTTGCAACAATTGAGTCAAATGAAACGTGATGGAACCGATGTGATCCCGAATGGTCGGTAGTTTGGAGTTGTATATTGTTGATGGTTGATTATGCAGCGATTTTTTGACTAGTCCACGTGGCAAGTTAGTTGAGTTGTAGGCGGGTTAACTAGTAACTAGTAAGAATTGCCACACATTTTGATGCAGTAATGCTAGTCCAAAGCCATGCAATGCATCACAATCACAGTTCTTCTCTACTTATCCTCTCAGACGCGCTAACTAATCAACCATCGAAAATTCTACCCCTTCACAATACTCATTCATGCGAAATGCAAACCCACAAACAGTCAAGTTCAATCCTATTGATCCGATGTCCTCGATGTCCTCCTCCTATGCCCTGCGGGTTGTCACGGGTTCTTTGCAATCTTCCTCCGTTCATCCTCGCCGTTCATCCTGTCCTTTCTCCGCCGCTCGTCCTCTCATGAAGTTCATCTCCAGATGCGCTAATTCATGTTATGTATGTGCTTGTTTTGATCATCTCCATATTTTCACACACTGTCAAAATTGTTCGAATGGGTCTATTGTAGGGGTCCGCACATCTGTTATTATGATTGTTTTATACATTGTCGTCCTTCGGTATGTCGACATGTCCATAAATTCTTTCCTCACATTGAGCTCCTCCGCTTTGTGTCATTTTTTAAGTCCTCCAACCACTAAACTTCATCAGATAGAGTTCTGCTCCCTTCTTTCCTTCTCGTTCTCTATTCTTTTCTCAAATAGCAACCAAATGTGGTTTGTACAGTAGTCAGTCAGTCATCATCATGCGTTGTTCTTTCATCGCTGCAAAAAGCGCTGAATTATATCTCAGAGAGTCGTTCTATAATGTATTTTGTTGTATACTTTCATGGTCCCGGTTCTGTGCTTTTTGCGCTGTCTTTTCTTCCCCTCGGCCCCGTATCCCTCCTCCTCCTGCTACAGAATTGGCATCTATCTCGTAATTGCTAATCTCATTTGATATTGCAATTTTTGCAAGTAAAAAAATCTTCTCAAGTTTTGCATTAATTGCCTCAAATCCGAATCCCCCAAAAGGACCCAACCCTCATAAAAAACAGCAAAAATTCGCTGTTAATCCCACCCCCCTACGTACCATTCTCCTCACTACCTATGAAGCTCATTGACTGTCGCATTGAAAATGTCATTCTCTCTCTCTTCGTATGTGTGCGTGTGAATCTTCTCATTTATTATATTTGGTTGTTCTCTCCCTCATTTGTACGTTTTCTCCTCTGCTCTTTGACACTGATGGTTGTATCATTCCCCACACGCCCCACCCATACAAAGTCCCTCTTGTTATTTCCGAGAGATGAGTCACATGCCCTGAAATCATCATTTTTGTGTTTCGCCACTGTTGTTTTCTATGTTTTGATTGTGTTTTTATTTTCTATTGCGGTATCAAATAAATAGTAAATTATGAAGCAGCAGTATCGACATCTTTAAAAAACTAGTCAAAAAATAAAATAAAGCATTTTAGAAGTTATGCAAGTATTGGTTATGTTAGCAGTAGAGTGCATAAAATAGGTATAGGAATTGTTTGTAGTTTGAATCATGAAAAATGTGATCGAATGATTATGTGGACCGCAGAATAGTAGACTACGTTTCAAGACTCATCGTTGATATGCAGTAAATAAAAGAAGAAGAAACCGATTACCTAATTTCGGCTTCGTTCCTATCGCTATAGGCAAGTTAGGTAGAATGCGATCTCCCCGGAGTTCATCAGTACCGAAGGAAGAAGCACGTAAGCGTGGAAGAAGGAAAGAAGAAGAAAAAAGTGTATTGTATGAATCCATCATTATAGCTTGGTTTATTACGGTAGTCTCAAACTTGGGTAATTAAACCGAATTTATGTTGAAAATCAGCATAATTTCTGATCTCATAATAAATGAACTATCGAAGAGATGTAGAACAGTCTCAGAGTACATGAAGTCGGAAACTGATTGAGTTCAGATTGCCGCAAACTGATCGGATCTAATAAAGTGCGGTTCGTAATTATACGAACACCCAAGATTTTGTAAGTTGGACTTTTTCGGAGAATCTTAAAAAGCCGTTGGTACCACGCGATAGAACACAGCCAAAAACGGTATATGATTCATAAGAATGGAAATCGATGTTAACTGTAGGACTGTTTTTGCGCCCAATGCGAATTTTTAGCGGTTCATAATTATACGAACACCTCAAACAAAGGTCCATTTTTCATTCAAGGTTGCAATCATTTGAGTCCAAATTTTTTGTAGAGTTAGTAACAAAGTCTGACAAATCTGCTATACACTAAACCCAGTGCTTCTCAAAATGAGGACCGTTATTTTTTTTTTCAAAAGCTCTAAATGCTTTTCGAGTGATTGCGCTCCAAAAACATTCGTTCTTCTGTGGTTTTCGCGCTCTAATTAGCTTCTATCAAAGCTATGAGATGAAATAAGCTCTTGCGATAAGTATTTTGTTTGACGATTGGAAAATCTTTGCGTTTTCGTGCCGTTTTTCAACCAAGTCCCAACCTTGCCACAGAGTTAGTACGATTTCGAGCCTAGAAACTCAGCTTCTGAAGCCGTACAATGAAGTAAGCATATAGTATGTAGAAGTTCACAAGACTTTATATTTGGCTAGAAAAAATCAGCAGCGTTGAGCGTTTGTTTTGGTCACGCAGACGTTATATCACCAGAAATACTGTTTTTACTATTGCAATCACACCTTTATTTGGTTTGTAGCTCCACAGCCGCAAGATCAGTTCTAGAAAAAACCCAGAAACTTTGGCACAGAGACATTATCATGCAAGCAATGCAGCTGCTTCATATCAAATGTTTGCGCAAGGGAGAAGCTGAGTTTTGAGGCTCGAACCGTGCTAACTCTGTGGTAAGGTTGGAACTTGGTTGAAAAACGGCACGAAAACGCAAAGATTTTCCAAGCTTCAAACAAAAACTCTGTGGTAAGGTTGGAACTTGGTTGAAAAACGGCACGAAAACGCAAAGATTTTCCAAGCTTCAAACAAAATATCGAAAGAGCTTATTTTATTTCATAGCTTTGGTAAAAGCTAATTAGAGCGCGTAAATCATGAAGAACGGAGCCCAATCACTCCAAAAGCATTTAGAGCCTTCTGAAAAAAGTAACGGTCCTCGTTTTGAACTGCACTGGGTTCAATGTGTAGCAGATATGTCAGACTTTGTTACTGTAACTTTTCAAAAAATTTGGACTCAAACGATTGCAATTTTGAATGAAAAATGAACCTTTGTTTGAGGTGTTCGTATAATTATGAACCGCTAAAAATTCGCATTAGGCGCAAAAACACTCCTACAATTGACATCGATTTCCATTCTTATGAATCATATACCGTTTTCGGCTGTGTTCTATCGCGTGGTACCAACGGCTTTTTGAGTTTCTCCCAAAAAGTCCGAAAACTTACAAAATTTTGGGTGTTCGTATAATTATGAACCGCACTTTAGTATATTAGTGCAAGTATTAACTAAGATTGTCTTTCTGGGTACCATTTCGAATTCTACTCAAGAACTCATCTTCCGGTGGATCTCTGAAAGGAGTACATTCTGACTAGTTTGATTTCTAAGGAGTGAATAAAAAGGCTACAAGCATTTCAAAAAAGTGTTGCTGGGCGCGATAGATGTCCTTGAAAAGCAGCTTTGGGGTGTTTGCTAATACTGTAAAGAGCAGTAGAGAAGTGAAAGCCTGGAGCCGTTTTTTTTTCTGCTGAAGATCACTTCGGTAAGAAGATCGATTTACGAATAAATCGGAACATCTTCAGCGTCGTCTATGCTTTAGTGATATTGCTCGAAAAGAGAAGGATGTCGTTTGCAAAACAAATTGGGAAGTCCTTCTCGTCCGAATTCAGTGACTTCATCACCCACTGCAAGGCCGCGGTGAACAGCTTCGGCGAAATAGTGTCATCTTTTCACATCCCCTTCCCAATTGGGAAGGTCAGAGACAGTGGAGTGGCTGCACGTTGTTGTACAGTCCTTGTAGCTGGTTAGTATCCTCACGTTAATGGGTCCACTCCTTGATCGATTAGCGCAGACAGGATGAGGTTGATTTTGACGCTGTCAAAGCCCTTCTCATAGTTGACGGTGATTAGGACGAGGGGCAGCCGGCACTCCCGGCAAACTTCCATGACCCTCGAAAACGTCTGGATGTGGTCTACTTTGCAAGGTCCACCTTGTTCTTGGGACTGGGCTTCTTAACACGTTGACGACGGTGTCGCGCAATGGTGCGCGACAGGCAGTCTGTCCCTGTGGACGATGTCGCGCAATGGTGCGCGACACCCTAAACATCAGTTTTAATGTGTACAATGGTTCCAATTTGTGTTCATATAATCAAGTTAGGCTCGAAAGTATTTCATGTTGGCCCCGCCCCCTTTTTGGCAAACTCCGCCCACTCCATTGCCCTCCACAAAAAACTTTCTTCGTCCTCATATCGCATAGAAAAGCTCGTAGATGACAGGGGAACCTCAAATAATCTTAATTTTGACCCCGCCCCCGTAATGCAGGCTCCACCCCTCAGTGGCAAGCCCCTCCCACTTTTTAAAAATGCTGGAATTTGCACGAATTCATTGGTTTTGAACAATTTCCAGCATTTTTGAGAATTGGGCGGGGCTTGCCAAAAGTGGGCGGAGCTGCCCCGCCCATTTGAATTTGTGTATCTCACGCATAGATGCATGCATATATATGTGCAGCCGGCTGTGAAAATGCCCGGAAACGGTTCGTCCACAGGGACAGACCTTCAAAAAATGGCTCGTCGTCAACGTGTTAAAGTGCTCTAGATATACGAGCGAGGAAAGTCTTCATGAGAAGCGTACAATACACCAGCAGGCATAATGGACGTAGTTTCGAAAACCCTCCCGTTCGCTTTTGAAAAGAAGGACGGTTTTTAAAGTCCTTAACTGGTCGGGAATTCTTCGCTTCTGAAGGTAAGATGCGACGCAAAATTTCGTCTAGACGTTGCTCTTCGACTCGCAGAAGTTCGATAGAAAGTTGATCTAGTCCTGGAGTCGTGGACGTCTGTATGTCTGGATTGCTGTGCGCAATTCAGAAGGTGTAATCCGTGGCGGTACTCTAGTGAGAACAACGAGCATTGACACGGATGCCGACATGGAGGGTAAGTTGGTGTAGAGTTTTTCGTGATAGGCTCCATCTTACATGAGAAGTTGAAATTCCGTCTTCAGTCAGTAGTACAGCCAGCGATACTTGATATTCGAGGTCCTTTCGGCCACTTCTTGAGACTCGTCTCCTTTAACTGCAGTATCTTTGCTTATCTGTACCTCCTGAGAAAAGATATTCTGCAACTGGTGTTAGCTATCAGTCGCTCGAGAAGGGTTGCATTCGGATCCTGCATCAAGAATCTTCTTTCGAGTAATTCCTGGTGGCCCTTGAAATGCGTTCGTTTTTCTTAGCCACTGAGGCGCACTCTTCGCAGGTTCGCAATCTTCTCAGAAGCCGATCGTAGTCATAGGTTGGGTCCTCCTCGATGGGCCAGTCACAACTTGATATGAGCTCTTCCAGCCTGCTACCGTCATAAATGAGTTCTTTTTTACTTGCGGCACTATGGCGGTCTCTCTTTTTAAGCTTTCGGCTGAGTTTGTATCTTCGCTCGAAGGAGGCGATGATTGGAGCCACTGGAAAGGAATTACCGAAACATCGAGCAAGCTCCACTTTCTTGGTGAGAATGTGATCGAACTTGTCCAAGTCGTTCCTTTGGGCGATTACTTGTCCATCGGCGATGTTCTTTCTTTATGAAAATGGAATTTCGACAGAAAAGCAGTATGGCTGAGAGAAACCCAACGAGACGGTTGCCGTTATCATTCCGAAGCCCATATTCGAACTTTCCGATCGTAGGTGCGATAGTCTGAAATGAATCTCACCTCCCCTTTCACTTCGGAGGGAGAAAAAGATTTTTTTAAGGTGAGATCATATTGTGCTTGAAGTGGAGTAGAATTTAAGGTAAAAGAATTTGCTTACAGAGTGTAGGGAACGAGAATGCGGGAAACGAAGCAAAAATCGGGACCGGACCCCCTCACTGGGACTAAGCAGCTGCTGAGCTGAGAAAATACTCAGTTTAAAGTTGAGATATCGTGGTTAAGAAATCAAATTCTAGGAACTTTATGGGACGAGCAGTAATGAGTCGGCATGGAAGGGCGCATGGTCATGAAAGGAATGGCTGAAGTGGAGCTTTCACTTGGACGAGACCCCAAAAAAACCATTTTCTGGTTGTAGTGTGACTATTGAATAATTTGCCATTGTATTGTGTGTATAAGAATAAACAATAAATGGAAATATTGTACACAATCGAAGGTGTAGATAGTGAGTGAAGGTAGGAAAATAATCAGAGTAGGAAAGGTCAGATAGCGGACTTTGATGATCAAAAGAGAGAGCTGCTGAGAATAAGTTCTATGAAGGTAGAGGTAGAGGGTAAGTCGCCATGTATTTGCCAAATAGAAAAGTTGCGGGAGCGATAGAGT